AAACATTAAACCTAAAATAATTGTATATCTTAAAATAAAATCACTTGGAGCCGGTCAACCGCCAGGCCGGCCGGTCGGCATGGTATGCCTGCCATCCAGCCACTCGGCTAAAAATAAAAAAAAAAACAAATTAAATATATTTGATATTAATTATACAAATATTTGAATATGTTTCCTTTGTTTGAGGTAGGATTTCATCAGGCATTTGGAGAGAACCCACGTGACAGAATATAACGCAGGAACATACGGCAGAAATAGATAATAAAAAATCGTATATATAATAATTGTGGAGTTCTAAAGAATAATTTTTCAAGGAACAAGAGACAAAGAAGCATGGATTATTTTAAGAAAAAAAATTTCAATGTCTAATTACTCTGAATTTTTTAAGGAATATTTTTTCAACAACTGATACCCTACACCACTTTGCTAATTTAGTTGAGCTTCACTTAATAATTAAAAGTTTTTATGGGAGAATTCAATCATACACGCTATGTTTATAATGATAATTTAAAGTTCAAAGGACTAAATATGCCGAAGTATTTGTATCTTTTAAATTCGGACTTGTATTGCCCATTTGGTGCGAAATTAATTTGAAATCGGATAAAAATATATATGGGAACTATATCCAAATCTGAACTGATTTCGATAAAATTTGGCAAAGATATTTCTGAGCTGTATTTTATATATTTCCCTGAATACTGTGGGTAACAAATACAATAAATCGGATGAACAATATATATGGGAGCTATAACTATATCTGAACCGATCTTCACCAAATTTGGCATACTAGCTTCTAGACTCGTAAGTGCCAAATTTCATCCAATTTGGACAAATATTAGACATTTGGTGCACAATCCAAGGTAAATCGGACGAAATTATATATGGGAGCTATATCCAAATCTGAACCGATCTCGATAAAATTTAGCAAAGGTATTTCTGAGCTGCATTTGATATATTTCCCCAAATATTGTTGTTACGGAGTGCATATTACGGCGGCGGTGGGCAAAAATACCAAATCGGATGAACAATATATATGGGAGCTATAGCTATATCTGAACCGATTTTGATCAAATTTGGCCTGAAGCCTAATTTGGGTGCATATTCAAAATTCCATACAATTCGGGCTGATATTACACGTTTGGTGCACAATAAAAGGCAAATCGGATGAAGATATATATGGGAGCTATATCTAAATTTTGACCGATTATCTCCAATTTAATAGGGTTCGTCCTTGGGCTAAACAAATGATTTGTGCAAAATTTCATCTGGATAGGGCAATAAATGCGAACTGTACTTTGTTTACAAAAATACATGGACAGACGGACGAACGGACGGACGGACGGACATACATAAATCGACTCAGAATGTGATTCTATGCATATCATCAAAAGGAACTATGGAACTATCTCGTTTCCTTTTGCCTGTTACAAACAAATGCACAAAGACATAATACCCTGACCACCTTGTGGTGTAGGGTATAAAAAGTGTGGATTTTTTTTAAAGAAATCAGATTTAGATATAGCTCCAAATAGCCATTATAAGTCTTAATGCTCTGAATTTTGGTACATCTCACCGATCTCAGACTAGAAGAATGTACATCAAATTTGGAGAAAATCGGATATATCTATTTCATACGATTTGGGGTTTTAAGTCCACCACATGCGTAATATGTACTCCAGAAGAATGATATTTGGTACCGGACATCAGATACTGCTCAGAAATACTTCTGCCAAGATCGGTTCAGATTAGAATATAGCTCCCTTATATATATGTTCAACCGATTTCGAGTTAATTGTTCACCAAATAGCCCATATCAGTCCAAATGACCTGGATTTTGGCACATCCGACCGAATTCAGTCTAGAAGCAATTTGGTGAAAATCGGTTTAGAAGTAGCTATAGCTCCGCCATAATTTTTAATTTTTTTTGTTTTTAAACTTTATTGAATGAAAGCAAAAAATGTCGGAAATAGCACCAAATTTTAGAATAAGTTTAGAATTGGTCACCTTTGGCACGAATTAAGGCCTCCAAACGGCCAATAAAACTGTCACATGCTGTCCGAATGTTACTCTGCGCTATTTTGGCCCATTCCCGGCGAAGCGCTTGCTTGAAGTGATCGACACATTGGTATTTTTTAGTGCCAACATTGCTTTCCAAAATAAGTTCCGAATGGAATATTGCGATGTGTTCAGCTCACGAGCCATTTTTCGGCCACTGCGACGCGGAGTTCGATCATGTCGCTTAATTACTTTTCGAACCATTTCTACTGATGTTGCTGTTTTCTTCCGTCCACTTCCTTGTCGTTGGGGTTCATTACCAGTATCACGGTAACGAGCGATGGTACGAGACACAAAAGATTTATTCACATTTAAATACTGGAGTGCTCTAACGATAGCCACTTTTGGTTTTCCAGCCAAATATAAAGAAATCACACTATCACCCTTGAATTCCATCACGAATAACTTTTTTTCTGGAAAATTCTCACCGGAAAGACGTCTGTACGCTTGTAACCAATATAATGAGCTGTCACTTGAATAATTTGAACAGCTGTCTGACGAGTGGCTTAGAAATGACAGCAGTCTGAAATTGGTTGCAGTTTTTTCATCTCACCCTGTATACCCGATTTGGTCCCTCACATTCGTAATATGCATTCGACAACAATGATATTTGATACCAGATATCTTTAGAGCTCGGAAATAACTTTTGCCAAATTTTAACGAGATCGGCTAAGATTGGCATATGGCTCCCATATTTATATAATTAATCGGATTTCAGGTTTATTGTGCAAATAATATATATATATGAAATCGATTCAGAATTGGATATGCCTCCCCGCTATATATAAAGTCAGTAAGGAAAAGTCAAAAATCGGGCGGGACAGACTATATGATAACCTACACCAATATGCATCTGTAAAGCTCCCTTATGCCTCTCCGGTATTACTTCCCTCTGACCCCAAACTATAACTGATTTAATGCTGATATGCGGTATGATCTACTTCAAATAGATTATTTTCTTACGGGAGCTTTACTAAATATGCAAAGTGGTGTAGGGTATCATATAGTCGATACCGCCCGACTTTTGACTTTTTATACCCTACAACACTATGTGTTGGGGGTATTATAAGTTTGATTGGGCCAAAAATTATGTAACACCTCGAAATATTGGTTTCCCACGTAGGAAAGTATATATGGATCTTCCTAGCTCGCCGAGCTGAGTCGATCTAGCTATGTATGTCCGTCCGTCCGTCTGTCCATGTTAATTTGTAATCACGCTACAGCTCGCAATTATGGCCCGATCCTAACGAAATTTTGCACGAAGGTGGGGTTAGGGTCAGAATAGAACCCTATTTTGGTGATGATCGCCAAATGTTTAGGGGTTGAAATGGACCAAATACTGAAAAAATGTCGGATTTTGCAGTAGCTATACAGGTCGCAATTATAGACCAATCGACGGAATTTCGCATGTAGCTAGAGTTTAGGGCGGGGAAGAAGCCTACCAAATTCGGTGGTCATCGGATAATATTTAGCGGTTAAAATAGACCATATCTTTTGGGTTGAAAAAATTCAAAACTTTTCATTAAACCGCCAATATTTTAAATCCCGTCGAAATCACAAAGCCATGACAAGGCTGATCATTACATTGATGTTAACATCCAACAAATCGGATATATAGCAAAATATGTGCGATATATATGTCTATCAAAGAAGATATGGCTGAACTGATTTTGACAGTTCTCATTAATTCAGAATGGCCTCTTGGCAGGAAAGAAAGAAACGTCTAAAAAAATCGCATAAAAATATCTCTCTAAAGATGAAAATATTGATTTTGTAATATTTTCTCATATTTTTTCAATTTTGTCATATTTTTGGCATATTTTCATTTTGAATTAAACATTTGGTAATATTTCTACAGCTAACAAAACTAAGTAGTTAGGATATCAGGATATCATATACAGATCGCATTTATGGCCCGATCCTTACGAAATTTTGCATGGGGATAAGGTGAGGGTCAGAATAGAAGCCTTCTCTTTTTGGAGATGATCGCCATATATTTAGGTGTTGACATGGACCAAAAAACTGCAAAATTGTTAGCAGGTCGTAATTATCGCCCGATCCTCACGCACATTTGAATGGGGGTTACCGGACATTGCAAAAGCCAAGCAGTTTTGGATGGCCATCCAAAAATATTCAATGTGCGAAATAGTTTGCCAACTTTTGTAGACTAAATACGAAAATGTCCATTCCAGCGACTTTTTGGAGAATTCACAAATACAGGAAAGACGCACTTCTGACTATTTCGTTAGCGCTGATTTCGTTGAAGAATATAGTCAAATGTCTGTATTTCAGATAGATGCCTTTTAGTCAAAAACCAATAATAAATGTTAATCTCCTGCCACTTTTGAGAGATTATAGGTCTTTGGTAAATATAGTTTCTAGATCAAGGAAGACCATTTAAGTGTAACATCTACCAAATGAGCAAATTAGTTTAAGTTGCTATTATTCGAAAATTAGAGAACGAAACCTGATCGTTTTCTTTTATTATTTGTCACAATATCTGGTGGAATTCTTTCGAGTATCTCGCCTATATAAACTGTATCGTTTATTATAGTGTTGTAGGGTATACAACGGTCGGCCCTGCTCGACTGTAGCAATTGCTTACTTGTTTTTTTCTAAATATTTAAATAAATTACATCATTTCGCCTTTCTCGCCTCGAGTTCTAATCGAATTGAAATGCGGAATATGGAAATTATTTGCCTATCAAATAAAACTATTCGTGTTTTTTTTTTCAATTTGAATACAACAAATCAAGGTTATCCCATGCTAAAACTATTCCTTACCCTATCACAAGATATGTTTGTGGTTTGATGGCACCACTTCGAACCGCAACAGATTCCGATGTGTTTGTTAATTGTTTTTATAAATCGAATCAATTGATGTTAATTGAAATGAATTGTAAACGAAAGTTTGAACATTGAATTCAATTTTTTTCACATTTCAGTAGCTCTTTTAGAATCATGGAAGTCTGAGGAAGGAAAAAAAATAGGGCAGCGCATGAAAATACTCAGCTAAAAGGGATTTTAAAGTGAAATTTCAAAAAAAAATAAAAAAGAAATAAAAAAAATATGTCACAATCGAACGGTACCAGGAGGGTTTCTCCCAATCAAACCCCCAAAATGGGCCAACACAACATGGCCTATGTCCGGGAGACAAATGAGGCCAATCACAAGGAGGTCGCAAATCAATTTCACATTCCAACCGCCACAGAGACAACTCAATCTCCTTCCTCCTCAGCAACACCACCCTCGGATATAATTGGCCAAATTATTGGCGACTTTGGAGTCTGGCAACTACGCACCGTGCTCATAATATTCCTCTGCAAAATACCAGCCTCATGGTTTATGGCCTGTATAATTTTCACCGCTCCCGAGCTATATCCTCAAACCGAGTTCGAATGTGATCCCACGGCGTTGACAGCAAATCAAACCATCACACCCAATCAGTGTTACATCGAAGATCCGCAGACCTCAAATCGGCAAGAATGCACCCAATTCCTGTACAATTTTGATTTTCAATCTTTGATTATGGAATTTGATTTGGTTTGCCTGCGTGATATTTTTGTGGCATGGACCCAGTATTGGCATTTGTTTGGTGTCCTGGTGGGTGGTGTGGTGGCCACAAAAATGATGTTGTTGTAAGTAATTTAGGAAAACAAATGTTAAATTTCAATTAATTGATTGTTGTTGTTGTGCGACACTTTTTTCCCCGTAGTGTCAGTCCCCGCAATGTGTACTTTATTGGACAAATGGCCCAAATCGTTTGCGGTGTTGTAACCGGATATGCCCGAGACTTTAGCCTGCACTGTGCCTTTCGTTGTCTGTCAGCCGTTTGCTGTGCCATCATGTTTACCTCGGGACAAGCCATATGTAAGTAGCAACAGAAGATAGAGGAGGGGTGGGTGGGAAAATAAATTTATTTTGTTTTAAACCTCAAGCGGGACATCAAAGGGTTTTTTGTGGTCCTTTTTTAAGAAAATATTAAAAACTTCCTTTAAATAGGGTCATAGCAAGTCAAAATATTCTACAAAATCATTTGTCATATAATTCTATTATGGGTCCCAGATGATGTCAAAAGTCTAAATCTTACCCAAACACCAGGAATTTTAAATATTCAAAAGCCATTTAAGGGTTAAAACCGTACTTCATGGGAGTTTATGCAAAATTCTACTTCAAAGCAAGATTTTTGAGAGATGACGTCAAAGACAAAAATATTCTTCATTAAATTTCACTATAAGTCACAGAAGAAAAGAACTCTGTATTTCCATTACAGGGTGAGATAAAAAAAACGGCAACAAAGTCAAACGCCATAATTTTTACATTTTTTTGTTTTCTTTGAATGAAAGCAAAAAAATTCGGAAATTGCATCAAATTTTAGAATAAGTTTAGAATTGTTCCTAATTGGTCACCTTTGGCACAAATTATGGCCTTCAAACGGTCAATGAAACCGTCACACGCTACCCGAATGTTGTTCGGCGGTATTTTGGCCCATTCCCGTCGATGCGCTTGCTTGAGGTGATCGACATTTTGCTATTTTTTAGTGCCAACCTTGCTTTCCAAAATACTCCAGACACAATAGTCCAACGGATTGGTATCCGGAGATTTTGGTGGCCATTGTGGGCTGCAAATGAAGCGAGGAACCTCATTTTGTAACCATTCTTGGGTGGCGTGTGCTAAGTGCGATGGTGCTGAGTCCTGTTGGAATGTTCAAGGTCTGCGGCCAAAATGTTTGCATGCCCAAGGCTTTATTAATACACCCTCTAGAATATTTTCGCAATAATATTCAGCATTTATTCTGATGCCACGGTCAATTAATACAAGCGGAGGGCCATCATCGGCTGTTATGGCGGCCTACACCATCACCATGGCCGGCGCTTAGGTTCTGGTGGCCAACCGAAGGTGCACATTTTCAGCTGACCTCTTTGGCAAGTAAACACGATCATTTTGTTTGTTTACAAACTGCTGGACAGCGAAAGTTCTCTCATCGGAGAAAACCAAATTCGGCAGTTCACCACTTTCGGCTAAGCGAAGCAACTCTTTAGCTCTTTTGAGTCTATTTTCTTTCTGTAGCGGTGTGAGTTCTTGCACTTTCAATGGCTTTGCCTCGACCCCATTTTTCAATATTTGCCGAACGGAATATTGCGATATGTTCAGCTCACGAGCCATTTTTCGGCCACTTCGGCGCGACTTTTGATGAAGTCGCTTCTTTACTTTTCGAACCATTTCTGCTGATGTTAATGTTTTATTCCGTCCACTTCCTTGACGTCGAGCTACGCTACCACTATCACGGTAACGAGCGATAGTACGAGACACAAAAGATTTATTCACATTTAAATGCTGGAGTTCTCTAACGATAGCCACTTGTGGATTTCCAGCCAAATATAAAGAGCTCACGCTTGAATTCCATCACGAATAATTTTTTTTCTGGAAAATTCTCACCAAAATGCTTGTATACGCTTCTAACCAATATAATGAGCTGTCGCTGACATGACAGCAATCTGAAGTTGGTTGCAGTTTTTTCATCTCACCCTGTATAGTAGAATTTAATAACAAATCGTTTTGTTGAATATTTGTAGTTGCTACGATCCCGTTTTAAGGGAGTTTTTAATTATATTTTGAAATAAGGACCAAAAAGTCCCATTTAGTGACTTGCTTGGGGGTAAAAATTCTTGAAAAAAATAAACCCCGTATTGGTATCAGTAATAATGTCAAAGACACTATATACCTGAAATTCAAGGATCGCAAGGAATCTTTATCCGAAAATTCCCAAAAATGTGGAAAAGGGGGAACTTACACCCTCCAGTTAGTTTATTTTGCTTTGTAGACTACCCAAACTCCGATAACCATGTCTTCTATGTTTGGATTTTCTTTTCTAATCTTCTGGTTTTTCCGTTGATTTGTTGTTGTTTTCTTAAAAAAAAATATAACTTTTCTCTGGTTTTTGTTAATTGAGAAAGTTTCGATTTTTTATTTGATTTATATGACCACAACCAAGGCTTTCTCCGTAGCATTGCTTAGGGACATTTTTGAAGTAGTATGGCTATAATTAGTAGTAATAGCATCAATTGGTATTTTAGTTCCTTTATGGGAATTATTTAATGAAAACACAAAAGCGCCTAAAAGTATGCTTTGAAAGTTGTTTCCCCAACCAAAGGGGTTTCTTGCTCTTTTTATACCCTACACCACAAGGTGGTCAGGGTATTATGTCTTTGTGCATTTGTTTAAAACAGGCAAAAGAAAATGAGATAGACCCATAGTTCCTTTTGATGATGTGCATAGAAAAACATTCTGAGCCAATTAATGCATGTCCGTCCGTCCGTCTGTCCATGTATTTTTGTAAACAAAGTACAGTTCGCATTTATTGTCCTATCCAGATGAAATTTTGCACAAATCATTTGTTTGGCCCAAGGACGAACCCTCTTGAAATTGGAGATAATCGGTAAAAATTTAGATATAGCTCCCATATATATCTTCGTCCGATTTGCTTTTTATTGTGCACCAAACGTGTAATATCAGCCCGAATAGTATAGTAATAATAGTAATTTTGCACATACAACCAAATTAGGCCTGAAAATAAGTATGCCAAATTTGATCGAAATCGGTTCAGATATAGCTATAGCTCCCATATATATTGTTCATCCGATTTGTTATTTTTGTCCTCCGCAGCCGTAATATGCACTCTGTAACAACAATATTTGGGGAAATATATCAAATACAGCTCAGAAATATCTTTGCCAAATTTTATCGAGATCGGTTCAGATTTGGATATAGTTCCCATATATATTTTTATCCGATTTCAAATTAATTTCGCACCAAATGGGCAATACAAGTCCGAATTTAAAAGATACAAATGCTTCGGCATATTTAGTCCTTTGAATTTTAATTTATAACTATAATCATTGCGTGTATGATTGAATTCTCTCATAAAAACTTTTAATTACTAAGTGGAGCTCAACTAAATTAGCAAAGTGGTGTAGGGTATCATAAAATCGGCCCCGCCCGACTTTAGGACTTTCTTTACTGGTTGCTATTTGACATTGGTATAATTAGTGGTAATTGCATCAATTGGGATTTTAGTTCCTTTACAGGAATTATTCAATGAAAACGCAAAAGCGCCTAAAACTATGCTTTGAAAGTTGTTTCCCCAACAAATGGGGTTTCTTTCTCTTTGTTTGATTGAAAATGTTTTTATTTTCTTTTCTCCTTTCCAGTTGCTGACATTACCTCGGGCATCTATCGCATTGGTGCCATAATACTCTACGACACCTTTTGGTCGCTGGGTGTCATCTTCCTACCCTCACTGAGTGCTTTCTTCAACAGTTGGACTCACATCTATTTGGGTATTACATTTCCCACCTTATTCCTAACACTACTACTTCAATGGACACCAGAATCTCCTAGGTGGTTGTTGAAAAATGGCTGTGACAAAGATGTGGACCGAGTAGAGGCTATCGTCCGGGAGGGAGCTAGCATTAATGATCGCCTGTGTAAAATTCCACCTGACTTCCATCAACAGCTAAGGAATTTGAGAGAAAAAATGCGTTCTGCCCCAGCACCCGCTAAGTGGTTGGAATTGTGGAAGGGTCCAAGGGCCAAGGTACACATGATTGCTGCGCATTTGGCACTGTCGGCTTTTATCATCAATTTCATGGGTATGCTGCTGAATATTCGTTCCTTTGGTCGGGATTATTTGGTGCCCAACACTGTGGCAATGGGTGAGTTTGGGAAAGGAATCGGAAATTTCTTAGGATTCAAAATTGTATTTGGGTATTTTAGGTTTCTCGGAAATCTTTGGCTGTTTCCTGGCTTTGCATTTCACCCTGAAACACAACAAATGGAAATGGCAGTGGGCTGGAGGTTTCAATATTGTGGCTGGCCTGATTGGATGCCTGGGATGGCTGTTTAGTCGAACGGAAAGTAAGTAAACATTTTTCCACGTCTTGAAGGACAACAGATATTAGGACCTCGGGAGGGTCTTTGAAGAAAAAAAGGCCTTTGGAAAGGCTTCCTAAACATCGAACAGCCCGCTAGAGGATCTTTGATGAATAGAAGACCTCTGGAAAGTCTTTTTCATGTGGAAGGCTTCCGGAAGGCCTTCTAGACATAAAAGACCCCTAGAAGGTCTCCCAAATACCCACAACTTCAAGATTACTTATCAAATTTTTTTATTCTCTATTTTCAGTGAATCCCGAACTGAAAGTCACCCTGTGGATGATAATTGCCACCATACCCAAAATGGGTGTCTCCTGTGCCCAGTCCATGATTTTGGCCTGTATGGCTGAAGTTATGCCGGCAAATAAGAAGGTACCATATGTTTTCTCCGTGGTTACCTGGGCTCGCGTCTGGCTACTCTCGGCACCTTTTATAAATGTCCTAAAGAAAATCGATGTTGCTCTCTCCCTGAGCTCCTATTGTGCTCTGAGTATATTTGGTGGTATTTGTACCTGTCTAATGTTAACACCACGCAGCACCAATGCAACGCCACAAAATCAGGATCAGGATCCAGCGGCGGCAAAGAAAGATATATCTCCCCTAACGAAACCTGTCTTTACCGTGGATATCAGTAATACTCAGCTGTAGGATATACGAAGAGATGGAAGGGAGGAATAAAGGCAGTGCCTAATCGGATCCTAAATGAAATTTTCTAGCACAAAATAAGTAGTTAAAATAGTCTGTAAGATGAAAGTGATAGAAAAGTTGTTACCGAAGTGTACTTAAAACTCGGAAGAGTATTGTTGTTGCAGTTTTTTCCCTTGTATATAAGTATTTTTTACAATGAATATACATTTTTATTGAATGTGATGAAATATACAATATCGAATATAAACAATTGAATTTTTTCCTGGTGTCCATAGAAATTTTGATTTACAAGAGTTCACGCAAGGTCCATGCAAAATATGAGGGGGCAAGTTCTTCCCTCTTCCTCACTTTTGGAAATTCTCAGATTAAAAGTCCACGGAATCCGTGCATTTCAGGTATATAGTGTCTTCGGCTACATTGTGGATAAAAATCGAGGACATTTTGGTCGACAATTTGAGGGTTAAAATTGTGACCAAAATTTTTCAAATGGGTCTTCTTGGTCCTTTTTTCAAAATGTGGTAAGAACTCCCTTTAAATGGGATGGTAGCAAGTTAAAATATTCTACAAAATTATTTGTCATAAAATTCTACTATAGGTCTCAGAAGTCATCAATAGTCTAAATCTTACCTAAACGCCAGGAATCTATATTCATTAAAAACACATTTTAGGGTTAAAGCAGTACTTTAGGTGAGTTTAGGCTAAATTCTCCTATAAAGCATGATTTTAGAAGGATGACGCTAAAGACAAAAATAATCCTCATTAAATTTCACTAGAAGTTTCCAAAAAAAGGAAATCTCCATTTTCATTGTAAATCCAAAAAATAGTTCTAAAAAAAACTCAAAAATAGTTCCTTTTTATACCCTCCACCATAGTATGGAGGGTATATTAAGTTTGTCATTCCGTTTGTAATACCTCGAAATATACATTTTAGACCCACAAAGCATATAAAGTATAGTAGATTTATTGATGTCCGTCCGCCTGTCCGTCTATCCGTCTGTCCGCCTGTGGAAATCACTCTAGCTTCCAAACGAAAGAAAGTAGATTGATAAAATTTTACTCAAACGTATATTATGTCTGCAGGACTTTTGGTATTGAAAATGGCCATGTAGGTGCAGGTTTTGATATGGCCCCCATATAACTGCACCTCCTGATATTCGGTATTTATATGATTTTAACGACATTATTTACCGGAATTATTTCAAAATTGGTATTTGAAGTTCGAAATGGATACAATAGCCTATGAGAATGGATACTACAGTCTATGAGAAGACCTCCTTCTGGTCTTCTATGAGAAGACCTCCTTCTGGTCTTCTATGAGAAGACCTCCTTCTGGTCTTCTATGAGAAGACCTCCTTCTGATCTTCTATGAGAAGACCTCCTTCTGGTCTTCTATCAGAAGACCTCCTTCTGGTCTTCTATGAGAAGACCTCCTTCTGGTCTTCTATGAGAAGACCACCTTCTGGTCTTCTATGAGAAGACCTCCTTAAGCTCTTCTATGAGAAGACCTCCTTCTGGTCTTCTATGAGAAGACCTCCTTAAGCTCTTCTATGAGAAGACTTTCTGGTCTTCTATGAGAAGACCTCCTTCTGGTCTTCTATGAGAAGACCTCCTTAAGCTCTTCTATGAGAAGACCTCCTTCTGGTCTTCTATGAGAAGACCTCCTTAAGCTCTTCTATGAGAAGACCTCCTTAAGCTCTTCTATGAGAAGACCTCCTTAAGCTCTTCTATGAGAAGACCTCCTTAAGCTCTTCTATGAGAAGACCTCCTTAAGCTCTTCTATGAGAAGACTTTCTGGTCTTCTATGAGAAGACCTTCTGGCCTTTTTTGAGAAGACATTCTGGTATTCCAAATGAGGAACTTCTGGTGCTTCGAAAGAATACCCTGTCTTTCAAGAGAAGACCTTCTGGTCTTCCAAGAGAAGACATTCTTCTGGACTTCAATGAGAAGACTATTGGGCTAGAAAATTGCCTGTGCAGGTCCACGTCTTCGAATAGCCTCCATATAACGGTACGTCCCCATATTCGGTAGTTTGATGATTTTAGCGACATTATTCACCGGATTTGTTACAAATTTCGTACTGGAAATTCCTATTGGGTACTACAACCTATGGCAAAAATGTTTGTATGCAGGTCCAAGTCTTCGTATAGCCCCCATAAAACGGTACCTCCCGATATTCGGTATTTTCATGATTTCAGCAACATTATTCACTGGCATCGTTTCAAATTTCGTACTGGAAGATACCAATGGGTATTACAGTCTATGCAAAAATTTTTGTATGCAGGTTCAGATCTTCGTATAGCCACCATATAACGGTACCTCTCGATATTCGGTATTTTCATGATTTTAGCGACCGGAATTATTTCGAATTTCGTAATTGAAGTTCCTAATGGGTACTACAGCCTATGATAACAATGTTTATATGCCGGTCCACATCTTCGTATAGCCCCCATACAACGGTACCTACAGATATTCGGTATTTTGACGATTTCAACAACATTATTCACCGGAATCGTTTCAAATTTCGTATTGAAAGATCTTAATGGGTACTCAAACTTATGGCAAAAAAAAATCGTATGCAGATCCACATCTTCGTATAGCCTCCATATGAGAGTACCTCCCGATACTCCGTATTTTCATGATTTTTGCGACATTATTCACCGTAATTGTAGCTAATGTCGTATTTGCAGTTCGTTATGGGCACTACAACCTATGACAAAAAAAAGTTCGTATGCAGGTCCACGTATTCGTATAGTCTCCATAGAACAGTTTTCATTTTCGGGGTAGTTTTTGGTTTTTTTTTGAAACTTTTCAATTTCCTTCGAAGTGGTGGAGTGTATTAAAAGTTCGGCCCCGCCGAACTTAGTTGCTTTTTTACTTATTTCAACTTTATAAGGGAAAACCTTAATTTCAAGTATTTTTATTTAAACCAGTAAAGAAAGTCCTAAAGTCGGGCGGGGCCGACTTTATGATACCCTACACCACTTTGCTAATTAAGTAGAGCTCCACATAACAATTAAAAGTTTTTATGGGAGAATTCAATCATACACGCTATGATTATAATTATAATTTAAAGTTCAAAGGACTAAATATGCCGAAGCATTTGTATCTTTTAAATTCGGACTTGTATTGCCCATTTGGTGCTAAATTAATTTGAAATCAGATAAACATATATATATGGAAGCTATATCCAAATCTGAACCGATCTCGATAAAATTTGGCAAATATATTTCTGAGCTGTAGTTGATATATTTCCCTGAATATCGTTGTTACGGAGTGCATATTACGGCTGTGGGTAACAAATACTAGAAATCGGATGAACAATATATATGGGAGCTATAGCTATATCTGAACCGATCTTCACCAAATTTGACATACTAGCTTCTGGACTCAATTCCGTTGTAAGTGCCAAATTTCCTCCCATTTGGGCAATTATTAGACGTTTGGTGCACAATAAAAGGTAAATCGGACAAAGTTATATATGGGAGCTATATCCAAATCTGAACCGATCTCGATAAAATTTAGCAAAGGTATTTCTGAGCTGCATTTGATATATTTCCCCAAATATTGTTGTTACAGAGTGCATATTACGGCTGCGGAGGACAAAAATAACAAATCGGATGAAACATATATATGGGAGCTATAGCTATATCTGAACCGATTTCGATCAAATTTGGCATATTTATTTTCTGGTCTAATTTGGTTGTATGTGCAAAATTCCATACTATTCGGGCTGATATTACACGTTTGGTGCACAATAAGCAGCAAATCGGACGAAGATATATATGGGAGCTACATCGAAATTTTAACCGATTATCTCCAATTTCAAAAGGGTTCGTCCTTGGGCCAAACAAATGATTTGTGCAAAATTTCATCTCAATCGGATAATAAATGCGACCCACAAGAATACATGGACAGACGGACGGACGGACAGACGGACAGACGGACTTACATGGATAAATCAACGCAGAAAGTGATTCTATGGAGATCCTCAAAAGTAACTATGGATCTATCTCGCTTCTTTCTCCATGTTACAAACAAATGCAGAAAGACATAATACCCTTACCTCTATGTGGTTATTTTTATACCCTCCACCATACTATGGAGGGTATATTAATTTTGTCATTCCGTTTGTAACTCCTCGAAATACTCATGTCAGACCCAACAAAGTATATATATTCTTGATCAGCGTAAAATTCTAAGACGATTTAGCCATGTCCGTCTGTCTGTCACGCTATCTTTCGAAAGAATTGAGATAGAAGGCTAAAATTTTGCACACATGTATATTTTGCCAGTAGGCAGGTTAAGTTCGTAAATGGGCCATGTAGGTCCAAGTTATCATATAGCCCCCATATAACGGTACCTCCCGATATTCGGTATTTTGATGATTTTAGCGACATTATTCACCGGAATTGTTTCAAATTTAGCATTTGAAGTTCGTAATGGATACTACAGCGTAAGACAGAAAATTATCTGTGCAGGTCCACGTCTTCGTGTAGCCCCCATATAACGGTACCCCCCGATATTCGGTATTTTGATGATTTTAGCGACATTATTTAGCGGAATTGTTCCAAATTTGGTATTTGAAGTTCGTAATAGATACTGCAGCATAAAACAGAAAATGGGTCATGTAGGTCCACGTCTTCATATAGCCCTCATATACCGTACCCCCGATATTCGGTATTTTGATGATTTTAGCGACATTATTTAGCGGAATTGTTCCAAATTTGGTATTTGAAGTTCGTAATGGATACTAGAGCATAAAACAGAAAATGGGTCATGTAGGTCCACGTCTTCATATAGCCCTCATATACCGTACCCCCCGATATACTATATTTTAATGATTTTAGCGACACTATTTACCGGGATTGTTTCAAATTTCGCATGTGAAGTTCGTAATGGATTCTTCAGCCCATGCCAGAAAATTGTCTGTGCAGGTCCACGTCTACGTATAGCCCCCATATTCGGAATTTTGATGATTTTAGCTACATTATAAACAGATTTTTCTTCAAGTTTCGCATTTAAATATTGTAATAACTTATGACAAAAGTTGCCTATGCAGGTCCACGTCGTCGTTTAAGCATTCGGTATTTTTAAGATTTTAACAGAATTTTTAACGGATGTTTTTTGGAAATTGCCAAATTTGTACCAAATGGTGGAGGGTATTAAAAGTTCGGTCCGGCCGAACTTACAGCTTTTTTACTTGTTTGTATTTTAAGGGAAATCGCACTGAGTATGTCATTCCATAATTGGACATCTTTACTCAACATCGAACCTTGTAGTGTCTTGACGTCACGACATCGAACTTGAATTTACCATTCGCTAAACACCCCATATCACAGATATTCCAATGAAAATTTTCCCAGAAGAGTGTTCCCTAAGATTTTCTACATCTTTATCTATTTTTCCTAGCAAATAGCAACTATAAATTCCTTTGTCATATATTTCAGACATCCTCTCTATCTTCAAATATAATTTCTTATTTTTTACTAAACAAACATTTCTCTCGGTGTGTAAGTTTTTAATATGCTTCGGATTATATTTAAGTGAATTTAATAGCTTAGTTATTAAAATTTTGTTTAAATATTAACTCCATTGTATTTTTTTTTTTTTTTTTTGTACCGTAATCAACATTTCCCAGTATTAAGTTTTGTCCAATGAAATTGAGCTGTCCAATGCAGTAGATCTGGTTTTGGCTACGATCAGAGAAAGAAAGAAAGCTTTGGCTAATACTTTTGCGATGCAATGAAATCTCCTTTAGTTTACTCAAAGACTTCAGACTGTGCAAACATTGAAGAAAAGAAAGTCACAATTAAATAAGCGGATAACCAACAAATAAGACAATTATTTATTTTCATTGATTTAAAAATTGAGCGAGTTTCATAGATGTTTTGTTAAGGCAAAGTTATGGAATTTTATCAGGATGCGGTTATATTTGTGACAGGTAAGTTGAAAAAATAAGGATAGATGATATAAGTATCAAGGGATTTATCTGGATAAAGGAAATTAATATCGCATGTTATTCTTAAATTACTACTGATAAGCCCTGCTTCTTTATCAGTATGATCTCGCCAAGGATGGAATTCGTCCTACAGTTAAAAAGTTGAAAGTGAAGCTAAATTCATATTAATATTTCCCCTGCTATTCTCGTGATTTCATTACTCCACTTAGTCCGGTTATTACATCTTTCCGATAGACAAAACATGATGTTGTCGGACAAATAAATCGTTTTTCGTTATTATAAGATTAATTTAAATATGGACTGTCCGATAAGCAAAAGGCCAAACCATGTTGCCATATTTTATATTGATTATATGCCAATAACAGCAAAATGTATTCTCTCTTGATCGTCCCACCTCCTTTATCTGCATCCTTCAATCTCCACGCTGAATATTTTTCATGAGTCGTCTTCCTTCTTAAGTCAATGGTGTGATATTTGTCTGGCAGTGTCATCTTACAGTCCTTGGACAGCCTATCGTTCTAGCGTTACAAGCGCCCATAATTCCTTCTCACTCCAGCCTGTTGTTTTCTAGCTGCATCATTTCCACCAGGCATCTTCATGGCATCTTGCGCTTCCTTGAGCATCATTTTGCCCCAGTGACACAGATGGATACCCTTCTTCTTTTTTATCTCGATGGCAAACAGTTTATTCGACATGACATTTTGCTTCTTTTGACATTTGGATACTTCTATAAGAGCCCCTTCAACTATCATATCTTTGTTGATATTGACCGCTAATTTTGCAGCTAATTTATCGGCCTGGATTTCGGACGTTATGAATGTCTTCTGCAAATATGAGCAAATCTTCCTTTAGTTGCAATACATCAGCCTCCAGCAGAGATATCCTTCTTTCTTTTTATACCCTCCACCAAAAAAAGTATGGAGGGTATATTAAGTTCGTCATTCCGTTTGTAACTCATCGAAATAATCATTTTAGATCCAACAAAGTATATATATTCTTGATCAGCGTAAAATTCTAAGACGATTTAGCCCTATCCGTCCGTCTGTTGTAATCACGCTACAGTCTAAACGAATTAAGATACGAATCTAAAATTTTGCACAGATCTCTCTTTTGTCTGCAGGCAGGTTAAGTTCGAAGATGGGCTATATCGGTCCACGATATCGTATAGCCCCCATATAACGGTACCCCCGATATTCGGTATTTTGATGATGTTAGCCACATTTTTCAATGGAATTGTCTGAAATTCCACAAAAGGAGTTCTTTGTGGGCATTTTACCCCCTCATAAAGAATTGTATATATAGGTCCACAATATCGTATAGCCCCCATATAACGGTACCCCCGATATTCGGTATTTTGATGATTTTACCCACATTTTTCAACGGAATTGTCTGAAAATCCACACAAGGAGTTCCTTGTGGGTACTTTATACCTCGGCAGAGAATTGTCCATACAGGCTCACGATATCGTATAGCCCCCATATAACGGTACCCCCCATATTCGGTATTTTGATGATTTTACCCACATTTTTCAACGGAATAGTCTGAAAATCCACACAAGGAGTTCCTTGTGGGTACTTTATACCTCGGCAGAGAATTATTTATATAGGTCCACACTATCGTATAGCCCCCATGTAACGGTACCCCCGATATTCGGTATTTTGATGATTTTACCCACATTTTTCAACGGAATTGTCTGAAAATCCACACAAAGATTTCCTTGTGGGTACTTTATACCTCGGCAGAGAATTGTCCATACAGGTCCACGATATCGTATAGCCCCCATGTAACGGTACCCCCACGTTTTTCAATCGAATTGTCTGAAATTCCACAAAAGGAGTCCCTTATGGGCATTTTACCTCCTCAAAAAGAATTGTCTATATAGGTTCACGATATCGTATATCCCCCATATAAAGGTACCCCCCGATATTCGGTATTTTGATGATTTTACCCACATTTTTCAACGGAAACGGATTTTAGCCACTTTTTCCAATGGAATTATCTGAAAATCCATACAAGGAGTTCCTTGTGAGTACTTTACACGCAGACATAGATTTGTCTTTATAGGTCCACAATATCGTATATCCCCCCATATATCGGCACATTCCTATATTAGATATTTTAAAGATTTTAAAAGAATTTTTATTGGATTTAATTTTTTTGAAAATTTTCTAATTCGTTCCAAATGGTGGAGGGTATTCAAAGTTCGGCCCGGCCGAACTTACTGTTTTTTTACTTGTTATTTATTTCACTTTTGACAATTTCACTTCTTATCCAATGTCGAAGTGGAATTTCTTTTTGCAAAACCACCACATCCAACTCCTCCCCTTTTCCCCGCTTCAGTAATAACTTTCATAATCACTTGGCTTCGAGCGAGTGTTATCAATTGGATGACTTCAACGTGGATCATGCAACATCGTCATCATCATCAACATGTTGTCAGATCATGCCACAACAACAATCCGCTATTTGAATCCCCCTCATTTCGAATCAAGTTTAACACAAGATTTCTTGTTTTTTTTTTCTCTCTTTTGCAACGCAGGTGCCACCGGTTTTGTGGGCAAGACTCTGCTGGAAAAGCTTCTCTGGAGCTGTCCACAGCTGAGCTGTGTTTACATTTTGATACGCGAGAAAAATGGCAAACCAGCCCAACAACGTTTCTATGAGTTTTGTCAACATAAAATCTTCGAGCGTCTTCGCCAACATTATCCGCAGCGTTTACGTAAGCTGCGCTTTTTGGCGGGAGATATTGAAAAGGAGGATTTCGGTATGTTGAAAAGTGGAAATGGAATGTAGACTATTATAAGTGGTATTTTTTGTTTCGTTGTAGGCCTCAGTAATGTCGACAAGAAAGTCTTATGCGCCGAGGTGAACATAATATTTCACAGTGCCGCAACGGTTCGTTTCAATGAACGTCTAAAGGTGGCAGCCCTGGTAAATTCCGTGGCCACATGGAATCTTTTGGAAATGTGCAAGGATATGCCATTGCTGAAGGTAAGCAACATTTTTGTGATAGGGAGGATGGGAAAACCAGTTGGTTTCCCTCTGTATCATAGGTAAGTTTGGTTATTTTTATTCTTCCCTATTACGGTTGTCTTCGTCGTCGCAAAGTTGTCGTTTTTCTGTCGATAGCGATTAATGATTGCTATTATCATTGTCGATACAACAGTCGACGTGAAGTCGATTTTTGAGATTATCTGTCGCTGTAAAAAATTACGACGATATTGTATTTTTTAGTCGATGTTGTCGATTGTAACCATTTTGTATTTGATATTTGGCCAGGAAAATAACAACAGCAAAACAATTTGGAAATATTGAATTTTAAAATATACGAAGCGACGGCGGTGGCGACTTGCATATAACGTCGACGACTATAGAAACGACAACCGTACCTCGGCCGATTATATTTCTTATAACTTTAAATGCAAATATGTTAAATACAGTAATACTTCGATCTTTATTCTATGCGTAATAAAAAATTTAATTATATTCAAAGTCGAAAACTATATTCTAAGTCGGAGACGAACTTGTTCACGACTACAGCTAGATTTGCGATTCCAATGCTCCGGTTTTGAAAGCATTTTTATACCCTTCACCACAAGGTGGTCAGGGTATTATGTCTTTGTGCATTTGCTTGTAACAGGCAAAAGGAAACGAGATAGTCCCATAGTTCCTTTTGATGATTTGCATAGAATCACTTTCTGAGTTGATTTATGCATGTCAGTCCATCTGTCCGTCCGTCCGTCCGTCTGTCCATGTATTTTTGTGAACAAATTGCAGGTCGCATTTATTATCCGATTAAGATGAAATTTTCCAAACAACATTTGTTTGGCCCAAGGACGAACCCTATTGAAATTGGAGATAATCGGTAAAAATTTAGATATAGCTCCCATATATATCTTCGTCCGATTTGCTTTTTATTGTGCACCAAACGTATAATATCAGCCTGAATAGTATGGAATTTTGCACATGCAACCAAATTAGGCCTAAAAATAAGCATGCCAAATTTGAAATCGGTTCAGATATAGCTATAGCTCCCATATATATTGTTCATCCGATTTGTTATTTTTGTCTTCCGCAGCCGTAATATGCACTCTGTTACAACAATATTTTGGGAAATATATCAAATGCAGCTCAGAAATACCTTTGCTAAATTTTATCGAGATCGGTTCAGATTTGAATATATCTCCCATATATAACTTCGTCCGATTTACTTTTTATTGTGCACCAAACGTCTAATATTTGTACAAATGGGATGGAATTTGGCACTTACGACCGAATTGAGTCTAGAAGCTAGTATGTCAAATTTGGTGAAGATGGGTTCAGATATAGCTATAGCTTCCATATATATTATTCATCCGATTTGTTATATATGTTACCCACAACCGTAATATGCACTCCGTAACAACCATATTCAGGGAAATATATCAAATACAGCTGAGAAATATCTTTGCCAAATTTTATCGAGATCGGTTCCGATTTGGATATAGCTCCCATATATATCTTTATATGATTTCAAATTAATTTTGCACCAAATGAGCAAAACAGGTCCGAATTTAAAAGATACAAATGCTTCGGCACAAATAGTCTATTGAACTTTAAATTATAATTATAATCATGGCGTGTATGATTGAATTCTCCCATAAAAACTTTTAATTGTTATGCGCAGCTCTACTAAATTTGCAAAGTGGTGTAGGGTATCATAAAGTCGGCCCCGCCCGTCTTTAAGACTTTCTTTACTGGTTTTTAACTTGTTTTTTTTTCTCCAGAGCTTTGTTTACGTTTCGACGGCCTATTGTAATCCTGGACGCAAATATGTTGACGAGGAAATCTATCCCACTTTACCACCGGTTAACTGGAAATACTTCGTGGAGTGTGCCCTAAAAGTAAACGATGAATATTTTAACAGTTTGGAAAGTTACATCACGGTAAGTTTGGTCAAAATGTTCCAGATATAATAGATAAATATTATTTTTAAATGCAACAATTCTTTATGTTTTCAGGGTCCTCATCCCAACACTTATACCTTTACCAAATCAATTGCCGAACAAATTGTCAACGACTATAAAGATCGTCTGCCCATTGTCATAGTGAGGCCATCGATTGTCACCGCATCATATCGTGAACCCTATCCGGGATGGATTGATAATATTCAGGGCATTACAGGAATAATGATGGAAATTGGCAAGGGTTCGATCAGCAGCATTTTGGGTGACAAGAATGTGATATGCGATATAATTCCTGTGGATTTTGTGGTAAATTCAATGATAATGACGGCGCCAAGGGCTACACTGGGGAGGTAAACAAACTCAAATTATTATTCTTAGACATGGTTTACATTGAAAATCTTTCCGTGAAAATTGGCCACAGACTCAATTGTCAGGGTTAAGGGTTTCAATGTCAATCAAGAAATATTCTTGATAATAACATTATTATTTTTAAGAATCTACATATCCAACTGCACCTCGGGCGTTACAAATCCCATAACCTGGCAACGTTTGGGACGCTTAACCCTTAAATGGTCACGCATTTATCCGACACGTAAGGCGTTTATGTTTCCCTATTTTCAATATCGGAAAAGTTTCCTCATGCATGATATTGCCGTGTATCTGTTGCATTATGTTCCAGCCATAATGATGGATTTAACGGGTCTCTTTGTGGGCGGAAAGAGGAGAATGGTGTTGCCCATAGCGAAGAAATTTCGGCAGGCCTGTTTGGCAGGTAAGTAACAAGCTTGGATAATTAAATAAAATTTTTAAATATTTTATTATTTTCTTTTTAGGAAAATGTTTCTCTTTGAATGAATGGATATTCTTGAATAACAGCCGTCATTATTACGAAGAGATGCTGCAGGCAGGAGCATTTCCTAGCCTCTATTGGAATTTAAATTCTTTGGACTATGAAATGTATATTCGTAAATTCGTCATTGGTATTCAGAAATACTTGCACAACGAGCGGTTTCGTGAAAATTCCAATAAATACCAAATCACCAAGTAAGTTGTGAAATGAAATCAAATACTTGAAATCGGATAATTTTTAAGTGAAATCAAAAAGAAGCCAGTCAAAAAAGGCTTTATTTTCGCTGACCCAGAGAAATTCTATGCAATCCCTTTGTTTACTATTCTAATTCGTTAAAGATTTCCGTCTTACTTGACCTAATTTTGGTAACCCCCACCTTGAAAAGGAGGGTATATAACTTTGTCATTCCGTTTGTAACATCCCTAAATATTCATCGTAGACCCATAAAGTATATATATTCATAATCAGGGGTCTAAATACGGCATCCGCTATCGAATGCTGAATCGTATCGACATAAATTACGACCCGAATTTATAGTTGGGATGATTTCATTCGATCGTAATTTAGTATCGAATTTATCGATTTTGTTACATTTGAAAATGTCAAATTTGCTATCTTTAAAAATGAACAAAACATGTTGTTATTTATTTGGCGAAAATGTGAAGTTTTGCAAAAATGGTTGAGGAATTGTGTTTTTTATGTCATCGTTGGATTCAGAAGATGATTTCAATGTAAACATCTTAAGAAAACAAATCCGCAATAAAAGCAAATCTTAATCTTTGCCAGTTCCAGTTCTAGTGTTTTTATTTCCAGGTCCACTTTGTTCACGCTTATTATTGCGGCATGCTCTTCTGCTCTCATTTTATGGTCCTTTAAACGAAGTGAATTTTCCTCCTTTTTGAGACGATATAGTTTTCGATTCAAAGCATGTTCTTCCTCCTTAATCTTAAGTTCTTTCTCTTTTATATCACGAATTGAAATTAATAATTCTTTCATCTCTGATCTCCATTCAGTCCTTTTTTCCACACTTTTTTTCCAAGAGTGTTGTTTTTGTGACTTTTGCCATTTTTTTTTCGAGGTGCACTCGTGTCTGGAGTAAAATCTATCAAATCATTTTTTTCTGTGGAAGCTAAATTCTCGTCTTCATGGTTTGAGTCTTCCATTATTTCTCTAGGATTTCGTCGGTATTCATTGATTGATCCATCTGCCTCAACTATCTCCTCTTCGGCAGCACTTAACAGTTTTTCCTTGAAAGGTCCCCCACCGGTTTCCTTCTTGGAAGTTTTGTTAAAAGATAACTTTCTCTTCACCCGATGGTTCTGGTCAGTGTAAACCTAACAAAAATAAATCAATTAACATCTTGACACATTTAATCGGAAAATCATACCTTTCGCCACATATGTAGCTGCGGTTTTAACAGGAAGGCCAGAAGCATTCAGCTTAGTCGTTAAACTGTTTCAAAGTCGACTTACCGTCGCTCTCGCTTGTGAACAATTTGAAAGTTTGTTCTTGGCCAAATTAGGATGGTCTGTCATAAAATCGGCCAAATAAGGGAAGTTTATTTTGTTTGAGTTTGTTTAAATCACAATACAGCCCACATTATTTGACGTAGACCTTCAAAATTTGCCAGAACAATTTGTAATGTGTCTTGGATGGTTGGTATTAAAAATGAGATATATCGCTCCACGTTTTGGTATAGTCGCTCCCGACATTCGGTATTTTGATGATTTTCGCCACATTTTTACACGGATTTATCTAAAAATTGGTATATGTAGGTCATAATGGGTTCTATTTTCACAGGCGAAACATTTTATGTATAGGTCCACGTTTTCGTATAGCCCACATATAACGGTACCTCCCGATATTCGGTATTTTGATGTTTTTGCCACATTTTTTCGCGGATTTGTCTAAAAATTGGTATTTGTGGGTCATAATGGGTTCTAGCTCCGATGGCGAAACATTGAAGGTATAGGTTCAAGTATTGGTATAGACCCCAAGCAACAGTACCTCCCGATATTTGGTATTTTGATGATTTTAGCGACATTATTCACCGGAACTCTTTCAAATTTGGTACTTGATGTTCGTAATGGATGCTACAGCCTATGACAGGAGATTGTCTGTGCAGGTCCACGTCTTCATATAGCCCCCATACAACGGTACCTCCCAATATTCGTTATTTTGATGATTTTAGCGACATTATTCACCGGAATTTTTTAAAATTCGGTATTTGAAGTTCGTAATGGATACTACAGCCTAAGACAGAAAATTGTCTGTGCAGGTCTACGTCTTCGTATACCCCATTATAACGGTATTCAGTATTTTGATGATTTTAGTGTCATTATTCACCGGAGTTATTCAAATTACGTATTTAGAGTTCGTAATGGGAACTACAATCTGTGACAGAAAAATGTTTATGCAGGTCCAGGTCTTTGTATAGGCCCCATATATCCTATATTCGGTATTTTTACGATGTTAGGTACAACACCCACCGAAATTGTTTGAAATGTCGTATTTGAAGTTCGTAATGCTAGGAACACAATTGGAGCGAACGACGAATTTCGCCCTACGCGGCGACAAAATAAGCCGCGAAAATTCGTCGTATGGAACACAATACCGACGAAATTATAAAACAGCTGATGAAGTTGTTTACTTTTTGCTCATTTGTTGACTACAATGAATTATACAAGAACACATAATTCTTTACGTTCTCTATTATAATTTCACTTATGTCCATCTTCTCTATTATAAATTCACTGATATCCATCTTCACTCAGGCGCAAGTACACAAATAAATAAACAAATTAATTATGTTTTTTTTATACGAGTAACAGATAGTAGAGTGACCATAACAAATTTTAAAGTAAAAAGTAACTTTATTTACTAAAACACATAAAATTCGTACAAGTATGGCCACCTTGTACTGTTTTGTTCGCCGGTCGCCGGCGTATGAAATAGAAATAAAGCTAATTGAGTTCGCGGCGACCGACGAAATTTTCGCCGGTGCCGTGATTGTGTGCACTTCCATATACACATATGTGTTTTATTTTTGACGACGAACATACGCCGCGAAAAAATTCGTCGTTCGCTCCAATTGTGTTCCTAGCATAAAGCAGGCCATCCACAGGCGAATCTGTTCGACGAACTGTTCGTCGAACAAAAATTTCATTTGCCCACCAACGAGTGCGAACATGCTCGCGAACATCATTTGTATACAATTTTCATCGAGTAAACATGTCATCAGACAGCGACCGCGACACAGTCATTGCCTTGATGGCAATACATGTTTGTTTTGAGGAAAAAAAATAAGGAGGAAGTTAAAAAAGAAAACACAGCATATGGATGAAAGAATGGTATGCAAAGCGCCAACAGTTCACACATACAAAACTCTTAAAGGAACTGAAAGAAAGTTCTCGGGTGGATTTAAAGAATTTTCTTAGAATGGACGCTGAACATATACAGCTCTATTAAATTTGGTAGCTCCAGAAATTCATCGACAGGATACTACAATGAGAGAAGCAATAAGTGCAAATGAAAGGCTTTCAGCGATTTTGCGCTTTTTGGCCAAAGCTACGAAAATTTAAATTTTTTAACTGGAATTTCTTCTTAGAGTCTTGGACGCATGTTCATCCACATTTTTATATTTATTTAATAAAACGTGGGAAGATTTGTTTCTAGCATTTTTATTTTTATATATGTCGCTTTTTGTTTACCACAATGCTGGTTCATTTTCCAGGCAATTGATAAATTCCGATAGAAATTGTTGTGACATTTTAAGTACGTCTTCACTCTAAAAAAATATTTTTCAACTGATGTTCGGCAAACACTGCCACCCACTGTGTCAAATGTTCGATCGAACACAGAAAAGATTGAAACTTTTTAATTTTTGGCGAACAAAACGACGAACACAAAATTCACTAACACAAACGATGTAAACAACACATGCTCGTCGAACAAATTCGCCTGTGGGTGGCCTGCTTAATGGATTCTACAGCCTGTGACAGAAAATTATCTATGATCCAGGTCTTCGAATAGCTCCGATATAACGACACCTCCGTATATACGGTATTTTGATGATTTTAGCTACATTATTCACTGTTTATTACAAGTTTCGAATTTGAAATGGTTATGGCTTATGAGAAACAATGCCTATGTAGGTCCACGTCGTATAAACCCCAATATAATGGCTATATTCGGTATTTTTAAGATTTTATCAGAAATTTCCAAATTCGTTCCAAATGGTGGAGGGTACTCAAAGTTCACCCCGGCCGAACGTACTTCTTTTTAACTTGTTTTATTTGTTTTCTATCTCTTTCCAGGTTATATTGGTTTTGGATATTTCTGCATGTCTTCTTTTCTCTAGTAATCCTGTATTGGATACTCTAATTGGAGGAAGTTAAAATTCATGGAAACAAATTCACAACCTGGAAAAGTACTTACCTTGTTAAGAACTAAAAATGAAACTTGTAATGGGATTATTTTAAGACTTAGCATATTTTCTTTTGTTTGTTATGTCCTAAAAAAACAATAAAGCTTAATAAATAATCTTAAGAACTAAGTAACACCTTCATTTAACATACACATGGGATAATTAATAATAGTATACTTTTCCCTACTATTAAGGTGACAATCTTCAAATTGTAAGAGAATATTTAAAAATAAGTTTTTCAAGTTTGGATAATAACATTGCCGGGAATCATTGAAAAATCCCTCATTTTCACAAGTTCCTTTGTATTCCGAATCAGTACACTCCTCAATGGGCTCCACAATATCACCCACCACTTGTTTTCCATTTGCCATTTGCCTTTCCATATCTTTTAGACGTTCCAAACGTATCAACTCATCCATGTCATCCAAATCGTAGATATCTCTTTTCATATCGTAACTTTTCTGATCCACGGCGCTAGTTTTTAGTTTGCGATTAAACTCCGAACGATAGTAGTCATTGATCAAATTCATCAGTCCCTTGGAATACCAATAAATGATACCCATTAGAAATATGCCCTGGGCAAATGGACCAACCACCATTTTGTAAGAGTTTCCTGGGAAGAGATTTCTTTTGTATTTGAAATAATTTTTTGATTTTCTTTGTATTGCGTTTAGTTTCTTGCAGAGATTCAATCTTCTCGGAAAGTATCCAACCACTGCATTAACCAAATATATTGCTGTTTGAACTGTGGCCAGGCCATGGTAAGTATCAACATTATAGTATTGGCAAAGACAAATAATTTCATCATTTCAACACCTGCAATTGAAAAATTAAATTAAAAGTTATTGAAAAAATGAATACACATTTTTTTATAATTGTTCTTTTATCAAAAAGAAACCAGTTTGTGACCTATGTCAGAAAAATGCCGTATATATCTTTAGAATTTAGAATAGACTTGAAGTCAATTTTTAACATATTTGCATTTAAAGTTAATCGAATTCAGAAGAAAAACCTCAAGGAGCGGAGAAAATTGTTCAAAATCAATTCAACCTCAAATATTAACTTATAATCTCAACAAAAAGTCCAACAATACCCATTTTTTAAACGCGTAAAATAGTATAAGTCGGTTTTGCCGACAAATGTATACCCCCAGCCTTAAGTTATGATTATTCAATCTGTTCACCCTTTATGAGGGAGGTTCCGAAGCTGTTAGTCAATGTGGTACAGGGTGAGATGAAAGAACTGCAACCAACTTGTAACTTTAGAATACACTTGAAGTCAATTTTTAACATATTTGCATTTAAAGTTAATCGAATTTAGAAGAAAAACCCCAAGGAGCGGAGAAAAATTTTCAAAATTAATCCAACCTCAAATATTAACTTATAATATCAACAAAAAGTCAAACAATAGCCATATTTTAAAACGAGTGAAATAGTATCAGTCGGTTTTGCCGACAGATGTATACCCCCAGCCTTGAGGTATGATTATTCAATCTGTTCACCCTTTATGAAGAGGTTCCGAAGCTGTTGGTCAATGTGGTACAGGGTGAGATGAAAGAACTGCAACCAACTGCTGTCATTTCGAAGCCACTCCTCCAACATATTCGTCATGGAATTCAAGCGTGATAGTATGATTTCTTTATATTTGGCGTGAGAACCACAAGTGGCTATCGTTAGAGCACTCCAGCATTTAAATGTGAATAAATCATTTTTGTCTCGTACCATCACCCGTTACCGTGATACTGGTAGCGTAGCCCGACGTGAAGGAAGTGGACGGAGGAAAACAGCAACATCAGCAGAAATTTTTCGAAAAGTAAAGAAGCGACTTGATCGAAACCCGCCTCGCAATGACCGAAAAATGGCTCGTGAGCAGAACATATCGCAATGTTCCATTCGGCAAATATTGAAAAATGAGCTCGGGGTAAAGCCATTGAAATTCCAAAAAGTGCAAGAACTTACACCGCAACAGAAAGAAAATAGACTCAAAAGAGCTAAAGAATTGCTTCGCTTGACCGAAAGTGGTGAACTGCCGAATTTGGTTTTCTCCGATCAGAAAATATTCATTGTCCAGCAGTTTGTAAATGATCGTCTTGCCAAAGAGGTCAGCTAAAAATGTGCACCTTCGGTTGATCACTAGAACTTAAGCGCCGGTCATGGTGACGGTGTGGGCCGCCATAACAACGGATGGTCGCTCTCCGCTCGTATTAATCGACAAATAAATAAAGAACATTATCTCGAAAATATTCTGGAAGGTGGGCACACAAACATTTTGGCCGCAGATCTTGGACATTCCAACAGGACTCAGCACCATCACACTCAGCACGCGCCACCCGAGAATGGTTACAAAATGAGGTTTCTCGCTTCATTTCCAGCGCATACTGGTCTGGAGTATTTTGGAAAGCAAGGTTGGCACTAAAAAATACCAAAGTGTCGATCACCTCCAACAAGCGCTTCGCCGGGAATGGGCCAAAATACCGCAGAGCAGCATTCGGGCAGCGTGTGACGGTTTCATTGGCCATTTGAAGGCCATAATTCGTGCCAAAGGTGATCAATTCGAACAAACGTAAACTTATTCTAAAATTTGATGCTATTTCCGCCATTTTTTTTCTTTCATTCAATAAAATTTAAAAAAAAAATGTAAAAATTATGGCTTTTGACTTTGTTGTTGAGGGTATAAAAACATTTAAGGAATTTGGTTAAGACAACTGGATTCCTAATACAATAACACAACAGACCTTTACTGGCTTAAGTGTATATCCGACAGGACATGTGGCTATTTTTTCGGACACCACCAATTGTGTTAAGAGTCTTCTATCCATGAAAGACTTATGTAGTATTATTTTCTTAAATACTCACCCTCACTGGATCTCAAATAGGCACCAAATCCTGAATTCAATTCATTGCCATCATCATCGACTAGTTTGTGATGTTCACACTTGGGTTTATCGTCTTTTTTGGTCACAACTTTAGTCACTTCGTCTTTGGCGGCACTTTTCGAGTAATGTCTTTGTGAGGATGAAGCGGAAAATGCACTGTTTGGTTTTTTACCATAACCCGTGGCCGAATTGGCAAATGCCCCACCACTTTTGGAAGTTTTCATGATTTTCCGGAAAAAAATTATCCAATTATTAGAAATCAAATTGAGTAGAAGACGACCATCTTCCAGAGATGTTACATTTTCGATAGCCACACGACAACTGAATGAAGGAAACCGAAAAAAATGAAAGAAATTGCAAGAATTTCCATAGGCAATTGTTGTTTATGTGGTCATTGGTTGGCTGGGTGACCACTTTTATGGTTTCCTCACTAATTTGCTGCTGCGACGTTTGGATCTCCTCCTAACCTAAATTGGTTTGAGGTACAGGAAAATAGAAGGTAAAGTGAAAACATGTTGTTGGGGTTTATTTTTTATTTGAAAAAGTATAGATTTTATTTTTTGTTTTTGGGTTTCTGCTTAGATTATTTCTTTCTTTCTACCGACTAAGTCCCTATTTTTTGTTTATTGATGTGTGTTGTTGGTCTACTGTTCTCATACAATTAGTGAGGTGTTGAGTATGTCTAAGAATATGTTGTAATCTAATTAATAATATTATGGTAATCATTATAATTATGGTATGTGAGGGAAATTAAGAGGATAAATGATAAAAGGGAAATTTTTATTTAAATTGCATTTTTATGCAAGATTTTGATATTAAAAAATAAATCACAACCATAAATTAATTTAGTAAAGAAAATCAATTATTAAATAAAAAATATATATATTTTTTTCAGGATCAATCCATTCGTTTGATTAAACTTGTATTGCAAAATTCGTGAAATGCTATCAAAGATTTCCCAAAGAACTAATTAGACCGTCTTTTTAAGGCAATACCTATCAGACGGAATCATTGCCGGCAGAGCTTTGTAAAATTGTATGCCTTTACTTGAATTAGAAGAAAGTCTCGCAATTTACCAGACATAGTCATCGTTACTTAGCAACCAGCAATTGCCCTTGGAGCTGGCCAACTCCCTATCCAGTAGATTATGAAAGTATAGCTAACAAGTAAAAAAGCAATAAGTTCGGCCAGCCCTAACTTTGAATACCCTCCACCATTTGGAACAAATTTGGAAATATTCAAAAAATAAAATCTGCTAAAAATTCTGTTAAAATCTTAAAAATACCGAATGCTTATACGAGGACATGGACCTGCATAGACAACCTTTGTCATAAGTTATTACAATATTTAAATGCGAAACATGAAGAAAAATATGTTTATAATGTAGCTAAAATCATCAAAATACCGAATATCGGGGGGTACCGTTATATGGGGGCTATTCGAAGACGTGGACCTGCACAGACAATTTTCTGGCATGGGCTGAAGTATCCATCACGAACTTCAAATACCAAATTTAAAACAAATCCGGTGAATAATGTCGCTAAAATCATCAAAATACCGAATATCGGGGGGTACCGTTATATGGGGGCTATATGAAAATTTGGACCAACATGGCCCACTTACGAACTTAATCTGCCTACTGGCAAAATATACATGTTTGCAAAATTTTTAGCCTTCTAACTCAATTTGTTCGAAAGATAGCGTGATTATAACCGACAGACGGACAAACAGACAGACGGACATGGCTAAATTTTACGCTGATCAAGAATATATATACTTTGTTGGGTCTGACATGAGTATTTCGAGGAGTTACAAACGGAATGACAAAATTAATATACCCTCCATAGTATGGTGGAGGATATAAAAAGCAATAATCCGCTAAAAATTCTGTTAAAATCTTAAAAATACCGAATATAGTCGTTATATTGGGGTCTATACGAAGACGTGGACCTGCATAGGCAACTTTTGTCATAAGCTATTTTAATATTCAAATACGAATTTTGAAAAAAAATCCCGTGAATAATGTAGTTAAAACCTTCAAAATATCGAATATAGGGAGATACCGTTATATGGGGGTTATACGACTACGTGGACCTGCACAGACACAGGCTGTGGCATCCATTACGAACCTCAAATACGATATCTCAAACAATTCGGTGAGAATTGTACCTAAAATCGTCAAAATACCGAATATAGAGAGGAACTGATATATGGGGCCTATACGAAGAACTTGACCTGCATACGCAATTTTTTGTCATAGGCTGTAGTACCCATTACGAATTCGAAATACGAAATTTGAAACAATTCCGATGGATAATGTCGCTAAAATCTTCAAAATACCGACTATAGGGAGGGCCTATACGAAGACCTGGACCTGCATGGACAATTTTCTGACATAGACTGTTGTTCCCATTACGAACTTCAAATACCGAATTTGAAACAATTCCGGAGAATAATGTCGCTCAAATCGTCAAAATACCAACTAAAGAGAGGTACTGATATATGGGGCCTATACGAAGAACTTGACCTGCATACGCAATTTTTTGTGATAGGCTATAGTACCTATTACGAATTCGAAATACGAAATTTTAAACCATTCCGGTGGATAATGTCGCTAAAATCTTCAAAATACCGACTATAGGGAAGGTATATACGAAGACCTGGACCTGCATGGACAATTTTCTGACATAGACTGTAGTTCCCATTACGAACTTCAAATACCAAATTTGAAACAATTCCGGAGAATAATGTCGCTAAAATCGTCAAAATACCAACTAAAGAGAGGTACTTATATATGAGGCCTATACGAAGAACTTGACCTGCGTACGCAATTTTGTGTCATAGGCTGTAGTACCCATTACGAATTCGAAATACGAAATTAGAAACAATTCCGGTGGATAATGTCGCTAAAATCTTCAAAATACCGACTATAGGGAGGGCCTATACGAAGACCTGGACCTGCAAAGACAATTTTCTGTCATGGACTGTAGTACCCATTACGAACTCTAAATACGAAATTTGAAACAACTCCGGTTAATAATGCTCCTAAAATTGTTAAAATATCTAATATCGTCGGGTACCGTTGTATGTGGGCTATACGACAGCGTGGACCTATACAGACATTTCTCTTTTAGACAATTTCATTGAAAAATGAGGCTAAAATCATCCAAATACTGAATATAGGGAGGTACGGTTATATGGGGAAAGTCGTGGACCTATATAGACATTTCTCTTCCAGGGGGTAAAGTACGCAGAGGGATCTTTAGACAATTATATTGAACATTTTGGCTACAATCATCAAAAACCGAATATCGGGGGTATTCGTGGACCGATATAGACCATCTTCGAACTTGACCTATTTGCACATAAAAGACTGATATGTGTAAAAATTTAGCTTCTATCTTTATTCGTTTTGACTGTAGCGTGATTACAACAGACGGGCGGACAGACAGGGCTATGTCCATTTTCGCGCCTGACATTGCACTGAAGCAAATATTTGTATTTGCAAAGTTGTTGCAAAATGGGATTATTGTTCCTCGTTCTGTGGAGAAAATATATTTTGTGAAAATTTCAACCTTTTGTGGAAGAGCTACCAGAAGGAGTGGACCAATATTGCCCATCTCCGAACTCAATCTAGGTTTGACAAGAATATTACAATGTACCAAATCGGATACTCCCTTCGAGAGTTATTGTGGGCACCAGCCAGCCAGACGGACGTCGCTAGATAGACTCCAAATGTCCTGAAACGGATTTGGCCCAAAGAGACCTAGGGTCTAAAACCGTTATTTCGACAAGGCACGTTTTGACCTATCAAATGATTAATTCTTTTCATAAAACTTTTATTGGAAATTCTTGAAAATATACGTCTTTTTAAAAGCAGTAGATTTGGTTGAAAGGAGGGTCAGTGGACATACACTTAAGTCAGTATAGGCCTCTTGTGCGCTCTACACTAAAGTTATTAAGAGAAGAGAGGCCGTTTACAGTTTATTATGTCAGGAATTCAGTTGCCTTAACTGTTTCATTTCATTTACCATGATCTGATTAAGGACTGGTATAGAGTCGTTCCCTATGAATTGGGATCTGATATTTCCAAACTAGGCTGGGCATTGACAGAGTAAATTCTCCAACATTACATCATCTTCCCCGCATACCCTGCATATGCTGTTATCTCTACATCGTAACTTGTACAAATGAGCTTGTTGACCCAGGTGGTCCGTTAGGATGCCTGTTACCACGTAATCTCTGTCTTTTTTTGTGGTTTTGCCTAGGTCTAATGCTAGACGTTACACGTTAAGGGGCTGTGGATTGTCCAAGTTTACTGTTGCTAAATCCCTACCTGTTTTAGCGAGAGAGTTCGCAATCTTGTTACCTCTAATGTTCGCATGACCTGGTACCATATAATGCATACTGATGCGGGGAGTCGTCGATTGAATTTTTATATTTCATTATACAAGCAATACAGAAGCTAGAAAAACGCTCAGGAAAAGTCATAGTTTGGTGCGGTTTATGGCTAGTGACATCATTGGGTCATACTTCTCTAAAGAAGCTGTAAATCGTAATGTAACTGTGAATGCTGAGCGCTACAATGAGATGATATCCAACTTTTTATACCCTACACCACAAGGTGGTCAGGGTATTATGTCTTTGTGCATTTGTTTGTTTGTTCAGGCAGAAGGAAACGAGATAGACCCATAGTTCTTTTTGATGATCTGCATAGAATCACATTCTGAGTCGATTTATGCATGTCCGTCCGTCCATGTATTTTTGTAAACAAAGTACAGGTCCCATTTATTGCCCGATCCAGAAGAAATTTTGCAAAGATCTTTTGTTTGGCCCAAGGACGAACCCTATTGAAATTGGAGATAATCGGTCAAAATTTAGATATAGCTCCCATATATATCTTCGTCCGATTTGCTTTTTATTGTGCACCAAACGTGAAATATCAGCACGAATTGTATAGAATTTTCCATATACACCCAAATTAGGCCTGAAAATATGTATGCCAAATTTGATCGAAATCGGTTCAGATATAGCTATAGCTCCCATATATATTGTTCATCCGATTTGTTATTTTTGTCCACCTCCACCGTAATATGCACTCTGCAACAACAATATTTGGGGAAATATATAAAATGCAGCTCAGAAATACCTTTGCTAAATTTTATCGAGATCGGTTCAGATTTGGATATAGCTCCCATATATAACTTCGTCCGATTTACCTTTTATTGTGCACCAAGCGTCTAATATTTGTCCAAATGGGATGGAATTTGGCACTTACGACCGAATTGAGTCTAGAAGCTAGTATGTCAAATTTGGTGAAGATCGGTTCAGATATAGCTATAGCTTCCAT